TAAAGTATTTTTAGAGCAACATTAGGTTTACAGAAAAATTACACATTATATACCATTTCCAAAATATATGTACAGAGTTCCCATACATCCTTTCCCCCTTACACCTATATATCTCTCCCAGTTTCCCCTATTACTAATAACCTTGCATTAGTGTTATAATTGATAAACCAATGTTCAGACATTATTATTAACTGAAGTCCTTAGTTTAAGTTAGGATTCACTGTGTTGTACAGTTCTGTGAGTTTTGACAAATGCATGTCATGTGTCAATGATTGCAGTATGAAACAATAGCTCCACTGCCCTAAAAATTTCCTGAATTATATTTATCTTTCCCCAAATCCCAACGATCACTTTATCATTTGCCTTTTCTAGAATATCATAAAATTGGAATTACGTTGTATATAACCTTTTCAGACTGTTTTCTCTCACATAGAATTATATATTTAAGGTTATTCTATTGCTTTCCATGTCTTTATAGCTCAATTCTTCTTAATGCAGAGTTAATATTCTACTGTGTGGCTGTAACATAGTTTATCCATGTACCTGTAGAAGGACATCTTAACAGCTTCCATGCTGTGGCAATTATGAAAAAACCTACACATTGGTGTGTCAGTTTTTGTGTGGATATAAAGTTGCAGATCACTTGAGTAAATGTGATGTGCATGCTAGGTCATAGGGTAAGATGTGGTGAGCTTTTTAAGAAAGTGCCAAACTGTCTTTAGGCCGCTGAAATGTACTGCATTGCAGTCAACAATGATGGGCTTCCTGTTGCCCTACAATGTCATAACACTGGTATTATCAGTGTTTTAGATTTTGACAATTCTAGTGAGTGTGCAGTGGTATCCTATTGTTTTAATTTGTTATTTCTGAGTGACTTAAGGATCCTGAACATTTTTTCATGTTTGCCATCTGTAAATATACACATTTTTGGTGAAGTGTTTGTTCAGGCCTTTTGTCCATTTTCAAATCAGATTGCTTACTTTCTTACTGTTTATTTTTAAGAGTTCTTTGTATATTTCAGATGCCAGTCCTTTATCAGATAACATTTTGCAAATGTTTTCTCTTGCTGTATTAGCTTTCCATTATTGTAACAAATAACTGAGACAAATGAACTTATAAGAAGAAAAGATTGGGTTGGGGGCATGGCTCAAGTGGTAGAATGCCTGCCTAGTGAAGTCAAGGCCCTGAGTTCAAACCCCAGTACTGGAAAAAAAAAAAAAAAAAGGAGGAAGAGGAAAGGTGTACTTTAGCTCATGGTTTCAGTCCATGGTTTCTTAGTCCATTGATTTAGAGTCCATCCCAGGCAGTATATCATGTACAAATGGAATTTGGGCCAGGTCCAGTGGGCTCACACCTATAATCCCAGTTACTTGGGAGGCAGAGATCAGAAGGATCTCAATTCAAGGCCAACCCTGGGCAAATCCCTAAGTACAATCCCCAGTACCACCAAAACAAACAAAAAGAATTATAAAATATTTGTCCTTTTGTGTCTGGTTTATTTCATTTAGCATAAAGTCTTCAAAGTCCCCACGTGTCAGAATTTTCTTCTTTTTTATAAGGGTAAGATTTCACTTTATGTATATTTCATGTTTTTATGTCCATGGATGAACATTTGAGTTGCTTCTACTTTTTTGACTATAATGAATAATGCTGCTATGAATATTGGTGTACAAGTATCTGTTTCAGTCCTTGCTTTTCAGTTCTTTTGACTACAAAGTATACCCAGAAATGAAATTGTTCTGTTGCTTTTCTTTGTTCTTATTTTCATTCTTTAGTCTTCATTTCTGAAATGATCTTTTAATTTTTCTCTTCATTCTTTATTGACTTCCATTTTCTTTTTTTTTTAGATAGGATTTCATTATGTAGCCTAGGCTAGTTGTGAACTCCTGCCTCAGTCTCCCAACTGCTGGGATTACTGGCATGTGTCACCATGCCTGGCTGAGTTCTGTCTTCTCTATTTCTAAATCTTCCTTTTCTTTCTGATCACCTTTCTGAATTTTCTTAATTTACCTTTCTGAATTGCATTCTTAGCAATTCTCAAATTATTTGGTCTCAAGATCCTTTTGCACTCTTAAAAATTATTGAGAGCTGGGCACAGTGGCTCATGCCTGTAATCCTAGCTATTGGGGAAGTAGAGACAGAGAATATGGAGGTTTGAGGTCCAGGCAAAAAGCTAGTAAGACCCCCATCTTAATAAGCTGGGCCTGGTGGTATGCACCTGTCATCTCAAATAGGAATATTTTGATCCAGGCTGGGAATAATCTCAAGACCCTATTCAAAAAATAAATAGAGCCCAAAGGGTTGGTGGTGCTGAGTGCCAGTGGCTCATGCCTATAATCCTAGATTTTCAGGAGGCAGCCCGGGCAAATAGTTTGTGAGACCCTATCTCAAGAAAAAAAAAAAAAAACACGAAGAAAGGTGTAGGACCTGAGTTCAAACCCCAGTACTGAGGAAAAAAAAAAAACCCTTCAAAAAGGGCTGGTGGTATGGCTTAAATGATAGCGCACTTGCCTAGTAAGCTCAAGGCCTTGAGTTCAAACCCCAGTACCACCAAAACAATTATAAATAAAAATTTATTTTGTTTTATTATTAATAAAATTTTAATTATTATTGTTTTATTAATATGGACTATATTAATGTTACCAAATAGAAAGTAAAACTGATAGATAAAAATGTGTTTATTAATTCATTAAGAGATAGCATAACATGTCTATACATGCTAACATGATATTTTTATGAAAAATCACTATTTTTCCCCAAAAAATCAGCAAGGAGAGTATAATTGACTTATATTCATATCAATCTTTTTAATGTCTTGTTTAATATAACCAGATTCTCATATCTGCTTCTAACTTCAATCTGCCATGATATTTTGTTTTCTTTGAAATATGTGGGAAAAAAACCTGGCCCTGCACAGATAGGTGGTTGGAAAAGGGAGGAGTATTTTAACAGACTTTCAGAGGGTTGTGGTTATTTGTCTTCTTTGAGAAGACATGAAAACTGGGAAAATGATGGTTTCTTAAAATTTAGTTGTGTATGGTTTTTCCTGGGGCTTGCCTCAAATTACTAGTCTCCCAATTTCTGCCTCTGGAGTAGCTGGGATTACAGGCATGAGCCCCCATACCATGAAAATAATTTTTAAAGATCTCTGTAGTTGTTTCAGAGACCACTAGGGGCCTAGGAACCATTCTGAAAACTGCTGCATTATAATGATATCTTCCATTTGTTTTGTGCATGTCCTTCTCGAGTGCTTTCCTTTTTTAGGGATGCTATTCTACTTCTTTTTCTTTTTTCTTAGAATTACCCTCCTATAAAAAATTTGACAGTAATCCCTTTCTGTGGTTCTCTGTTTAAAAGTGCAGTAAGTTTTTCTATACTTCTACGTGGTAAGGTCGGGCCAGATTAGTTTTCTCAAGGGTTTGGAGCTCCCTCTCCTGTTGTATTTGCAAAGTATGATAAAACATGACCTTATGCTTCCTGAGATCTGTCATCTCGTGTCCCTCCACACACCTAGATCTGGGCCTTCCATCCTTTGTGTGCCCAACATGCCTGCTGCATTCAATGTAGATTCTCTTCCCACTAATTTCTCCCTGGTATGGGTCTTGTCTTGAATGAGATCTTCAGTTTATGACTTTTATTATGGGGCCCAGACTGCTCCAACACTGTAAATTTTTATTTCAATGCAGTTTTTTGGCATTCGCCTGAAAGTTGAACCCTGAAGAACCCCTTTCCAGTTTTGGTTACCATTCTCAGTTTGGCCCACCATGCTTGCCAGAAAGTTCCTGTTGGCAGTTTTGAAGCTCTTCTATTTTTTTTGGGCGGGGGGGTGGGTACTGGGGTTTGAACTCAGGGCCTACACCTTGAGCCACTCCATCAGCCCTTTTTTGTGATGGGTTTTTTTGAGATAGGGTCTCACGAACCATTTGCCTAGGCTGTCTTAGAATTGCAATCCTCCTGATCTATGCCTCCTGAGTAGCTAGATTACAGCTGCGAGCCACCAGTGCCTGGCTTGAAATTCTTCTTTTTTCAGTGCTGCTAGAAGTCTAGTTGACTATCCTCTACTTATTAACACACACACACACACACACACACACACACACACACACACAACACGTACAGAAATGCACACAGGCATGTATTTTTTTTCTTTAAAACACAATTATACACAAAAAAATCATACTTTTCCTCTCATTTAATATCATGGATAGTTTCCATATGAGCATCTATCTACAAATCTACCTCATTCTTTCTAATGGCTGCAAAACAGTGTTTAACACTCACAGAGACAGCACTTACCATGTGCCAGCCCCCCCCACCCCCCACACTTTATCTCAGGGCCTTGTGCATGCTAGGCAAGTACTTTACCACTGAGCTACACCCCTATCCCATAGGCACTGTTCTAAATTTTGTATATCTGTTAATTTAATCCTTACAATACCACGCAAGTTAAGTACTATTATTTACCTGCATTTTATAGATGAAAAGGCTAATTCACAAAGAGGCTAAGTGACCAGTAAGTGGTCATAGATCTAGTGCCTCATTCTTTGTGTCAGTGCACACAAAGCTGTCTAGTTCTACTCTTCTCCTGAGGGACCCTTTGACAATTTTCTCTTGCTTTCTTTCTTCTATCTCAAAACCTTTCTGAAATTGACATCCTTGTGCTGTATGGTATATATTCTGGTAACATTTTGAGACTATTTTCCATAAAGCTGAATCCTAGCAGTGGGGTTGCTCAATTTCTTTATAAATTATGTTTTGAGATTTTTGTTTTTGGAGACTTTTACTGCATCCTTCCAGAATGAGAACCCTAAGGGCTCGATAAAACTAAGATTTGGTGTATCAGACCATATTGCTGGTTTTAAAAAGAAAATAGAATGTTATGAACCTTGGCTGTAGCCCTTTTACAGATGGGTTATGGGAGGAAGGAAGGCCTATTTTCACTGACTCTGCTGGTTATTCAAGCAGAGATCATAACATATCTACCAATGGTCTTTTTTCAGAACTGGTGGAGTCTCTTTCATTGCAGGGATCTTATGCTGGAAAAATCCATTCCATTGGCGATGCCTTCAGAAATTTTAAAAATCTCCGATCCTTAGATTTATCAAGGAATTTGATCACTAGCCTAAAGGTAGGTTCTATATTCTATGACCAGCCAGCTCAGTCCAACTTGTTTTTTGATTAGAAAAAATAAGAGATAGATAATTTCGGCCTGAGGAGTATAGGGTCTTCCTTTTAAATGCTTTCAACTAAATTGCATTATTCACCATAGAATTCTTTCAACTTTGCTCTATGTATAAAATAATTTCTTATAAAATATTGGGTAACATTCCTTTTGAACTCAGAAAAAACAATATTAAGTTTTCATTGTTGAGGGCAATAGTATAAATTTCCATGTGAGTAAAAACATTATGAAGACAATTGATAAGTACAGATTCTTAGTCCCTACTCTGAGAGTAGATCTGCTTTAGTAGGTCTGGGTGGGCTCAAGACATACCCAGGGGACTCTGATGATGGTGGTACATGGGACACATATGGAGAAACACTGGGCCACATTGTCACTGTGGGATTTTTATAAGAGGAGCAGGAAATGGTGATCTCACAAAAGAAAAATGAAAACTGTCCAGGTCAGAAGCTGATGGAGAACAGGGCAGTACAGGAAAGTAGGAAGGAGCAGGTTTCAGCAGTGTATGGGAGTGGATTGCCCAATACACACAAAGAGCTTTGCAAACGAGTGTGCATGCACTGCACAGCATGGCAGATTTGTTTGCTTTGTGGTAGCTCCTCAAATGGTACTTCTTCCACAGGTTCCCATTTTGCCTCAGCTAAAGCCTTTCTATGGAAGACTAGAGAGGACAAAGACTCACAACTACTATCTAGGATTAGTTAACAATCTCCTGTATTTTTCTGCCAATTTTGCACTTCTTAGGGGATACATGTTCACACACTATCCAGACCTCGTCCCAAGGTCTAATTAAAAGCCCTAAAAGGTAAAGCCCAAACAAGATCAAATTTCCACCTAGGATTCTAAAAGCAGAAACTCCAAATTGAATTAGATATTTAGATTATTTTTTAGTAGCCATTTATATTTGGCTCATCTGTTTCAGAATTAATTATTTTAGAGTTGCTTAGCTCTCCTGTTTATATATATATATATATATATATATATGTTTGTTTGTTTATTTGTTCTTTTTATGCTAAAAAATTAAGTGAACATTGCTGTAATTTGAATTTTTACTCCTTTCCACTTCTATAAACTGGATGAAAAACTATAGTGAAGATTAAGTAAGCTAACATGTAATCAAAACATAACACATACAAGACTTCTGGTAGTGCTTGGCATTGAGGAAGCACTTAGTAAATATTAGTTTTCTACAGTCTTTGCATCTATGACTTATCTGCTTATATTCATCTCTAGCTGGTCTGAATTAAGTTTCTCAATTTTCTTAGGGAGAATGTTTTTGTGATTATTTCTAGCATAATGTTGGAGAACACAGAAATTCATGCCAACTGGGAAAAGTGAGAGGAGGCTAGAAATTATTTTCTTGATTTTTATACTGAGAGACATTAACAGACTGTTCCGACATATAAAAGACAGTCCTAATGGTGTACTGCCCTGAGAGTGGGACTAAAGGCACTGATAACTATCCCTAACTACTAACCCTTTAATAATATAAAAGTTAGTGAAATTAAAAAAAAGGAAGAAATATATCAAAATGTAAACAGGGTTCTGTTCAGGAATGTTTTGAATATATCTTTGAGTTTTCCAAATTTCATACAATAAGAAAATGGTAATTTTTAATGAGAGAATAATAAAAATATTATTTTATAAATACATAATGGAAAATAATTTCACCATTCTGAAATGATTCTTTATGACAGAGTTCCTTTACGGCAAACATTTTAATATATGAAAAATACATGATTATATATACCTGACTATGTTTTGAAATTTTGTCCTGAAATTTAGTATTTGGTAAAAGCAACTAACTAGGCCTGGCATGGTGGTATACAGTTATAATCCCAGCACTTGAGAGGCAGAGGCAGGAGTTTGTAAGATTGAGACTAGCCTAAACTACATAGTGAGTTCCAGGTCAGCCTGTACTGCAAAGTGAGATCCTGTCTCAAAAACAAAAATAAGAAACAACAACAAAAAGGCAGTGAAATAGCTAAATACATGCAAATTAAGTAATTCTTTTCAATAGCAGGTTTCAACAGAAAAGGAAAACTGACTTTTCCTCTCCATTTTCCCATTCCTGATTATACTGTTACCAGTTAAATAGGAGAGTGGGGCTGCTAAATCCACAGAAAGAGAACTGAAGGAGAAATATTTCTACTAAGAAGAACAAATGGGGAGCTTGTATGATGGCAGTAACTCTGAGAGGGAAACAGGGACCAAGGGATTCCTAGACTGTTCCATTGGGGAAGACCTGGAGATAGTGTTGTTTTGTTTCTAAGTAATACATTGACACTAAAAGTGAGGTGTTAAGACATAAAGATAACACACACACACACACACACACACACACACACACACACACACAGACACATACACACATTGCCCTTCTTGCCCCGAAGCAGGTCTTTCCTCTCGTAAACTGAGATTCTTATGGAGTCAGGAGAGTAGCTTGGGCCAAAGAGGCTTGGCCTAGCTACCAACAGGAAGGATCGAATTGGGAGAATGATTGGGGAACCAATACACAGTGAAAATCAGTTACAGATGTTTGAATGTCAGATTTTATAAAGGAGGAAATGTATTATACATGCTAATTCTTTAATGTTTAGTACACCCAATGCCCATGGACTGTAGTGTTCTTATTCTCAGGCAACTGAACAGGAATTCCAGACCTGCCTTTCTCATGGGTGACTCTGGTAACAGACAAATCTAAGGCTGAAAAGTAATAGATACATTTCCATCTTTACCTTGAGATTTCTCCCAATGTGCAGTTTTATAATGTGGTCTTTTCCTTGCAGGGTATCCAGTATTTATGTTCACTCCAAGACCTGAATTTATATTATAACAACATCCCTTCATTAGTGGAAGTGTCCCGTCTACAGCCTTTACCCTTCCTCAAAGAACTAGATTTGAGACTCAATCCTGTTGTAAGGAAAGATACAGATTATAGGCTCTTTGCTGTGTATACGCTGCAAACTCTGGAGAAACTGGGTGAGACCTTCCTCTTCTGTTCCTTCCCCAGCATCTTACTTGAAGTCAGCTGCTCCTTAATCTTTTGGATGTTGGCCAAGAGTGTGCACTGGCAGAAGACATTTGTTTATCAATATTTATGTAACTCTTTGTGTTAGCAGGATGTATGACGAGTACTTTTATTGTTTACTGAATAACCATCCATGATTTTATCAGTTACTTCCAGCTTTAGTTTTCTTCAACTGATGGTTTCACCACTATTTCCTCCCCAACACAAAATTTCCAAGCTGAGACTTGTTTTTCCAGGTGCCCCAACTTTGCAACTGTTTTAGCAATAGAAAACTAATACAACAGTTCTTTGGGGCTTAGTTGACAAGGAACAAGAAATATCCCTCTGAATGAGCTGGACTGTATTTCCTTATAATTTTATCGAATATGTATTTCTTATTGATACAAAAATTGACTTCACAAGGCCCTTAGAAAGTCATTGCAGGAAACAGTTAATTTTTTCAGAAAATGGTGTAGCTTTCAGCAGTAACATAAGATTGTCTGCTGTCCAAGCTCCACTTTCCTGAAGGGGTAGTTACCCTGCGTGCCAGTTGTTGCTATGGCATCCTTGTAGTCTCCCTGAGTTACTGTTTGCTCCAGTGACAACATAATAGCATTATGTTGTGACCTGTCTCTAACACACAAAGATAAACCAGCTCATTAGTTTTTCCTCTGTAAATATGATCTTCTGGCCCACTACCATTTACTCCAAAAAAGAAACATGCTCAGACCATGGTTTCTGCCTCCAGATGATCGAACTGTACGTGACAGTGAGAGGAAAGCTGCCAAGCTGCATTTTAGTCAATTGGGCAACAGTGAAAATTTTCTATTAGAGGTGGAAAAAAGGTAAGAAAATTTTCTACAAACTCTTTTTAAGTTGTTTCTAGACATGTCATAGTAAATTTCTGCTTAACTTTTTTTTTTTTTGAGTGGGATTGGGGTTTGAACTTAGGCTTCATGCTTATAAAGTAGGTGCTCTACCACTTGAGCCACACCTCCAGTCCACTTTGCTCTTGTTATTTTTGAGATGGGGTCTTGAAAAGTATTTGCCCTGGATGGTCTCAAATTGCATTCTTCCTGAGCTCAGCCTTCCAAATAACTATGTGAGCCGCCAGGACCTGGCTTTGCTTAACTTTCTTCGTTTTCCAGCAGAAGGCTCCTACCGGTTGTAAGACTACTCAGATCTGGAATAAAAGTATCAATTCAAATTTATCTTGGATGAGAATCTGGCTCTCATTGGGTTCATGCCCGCTTTCTAGAACTATTAAGTTTGCTTTGAATATAACTCTTATAACTCCAAAGGTGGTGTTCACAGTTTATAGACAGTGACACTATGAGATCATTAGCCTCATCAATGCCTATCAACCCTTCCTTGGTAGAATTACTGCAAGGTTTTTTCCTATTGAATAAGCAACAGTCAGCAAGACTGTTAGAGATAAATTTGTGAAAGCAACAAAAGAAAAGCACCTCTCTAAAAAACAAAGAATAAACAGACCTAGAGTGTCTCAAGTGTCTAAATGGTAGATTTTTCCTTTTCTTTTTACTGAAATCATATCAAATGAAAGCACATATCTTCTACCCTAGCCCCATGCTTTTTAAAAAACTAGCTTTATTGTTTTTGAAAGTTAGAAGTTCATTGCAATTTAAATAATACAGAATAGGGACTGGCGGGGTGACTCAAGTGGTAGAGCATCTGCCTAGCAAATGTAAGGTTCTTGAGTTCAAACCAATAAATAAATGAATAAATAATACAGAAAAGCACACTGAAAAAGTCACAATCACTCTATATATTGTCACTGAAAGTTAACTACTAGTAATATTTAGTATACATTTTCTAGGCATATGTACTATAAATACATATAGATATATTTATTAACCTATTGGTCTAGTCTATTAGTATATTTTTTGGTGACAAAATTAACACATGCTTATTGTTGACAATTTGGAAAGTACAGGAAAAAAAACCACAAGGAATCAAGTAACTCATAATCCCACCACCCAGAAAGAAACACAATTACATTATGGTAAATAACCTTTTTTTTTTTTACAGTACTAAGGCTTGTATTTTAAAAACATAGTTAAACTATAGTTCCCCTAGAGCATTAGGGGAAAAAGTCTGACCACCATGAACTTAATGTTTTCTAAACAGCATGGACTATTGATCTTGGAAGTTTTCTTTTGAGTTTTAAATAAATTCTTTTATGTGACAGCTCTAGGGTGAAGACAACAAAAAACTGTGTGACAGATGAGGGTTCTGCATCAAAAGTCAATACTGATGTTGACACCAGGATTGAAACAGGTCAGTGTTTTCTCTGTGATCATAAAATAACCAGACATCAGTTGTCTCTGCTGTTATACCAACCTTAGGTTGGTAGGGTGAAGACAAAGTAGTTGAGAAAGCACATATTTGAAGCAAGCCCAAGATTTATTGGCTATATTTTCCTTGTTTCCTCCTACTGTCAGAAGGATCCTGTGTTGAGCAGGTATAAACCAGGACCTTTCAAAGCACAAGCTATACTGAGAGAGTTCAACTTAATTGACATCATTTTATGTCATTCATATGCCCTAAAATTACATTGGCCAGCCTACCAGCCTTTGGGCACTGCTAAAATTATTGATTTTTCTTAGTCAGAGACTTATGACTGCCACCATGCACTGTATATCCTGGGCCTCCTGGGCTCTCCAACCAAGTACCTTCCCAACTGCAGAATCTTTTGTGTTTGTGCTACATGTCTGTAAACACCATTAATATTTCAATATGATTAAAGTGGTTATTTTACATTAATGCTCATGCCACAGGCTAGGACAAAGCTAGGAGAAATTGCATCCAATGAATCCTTATGGATTAACCTGACACACTCATACCAGTTCAATCAGATAACTTTTTTTTTTTTTTTTGCAGTATTAGGGTTTGAACTCAGGGCCTCATGCTTGCTAGGGCAGGTGCTCTTACTGCTTGAGCCACTCTACCAGCCTTGTTGGTTATTTTTGAGATAAGATCTTGCTTCATCCCCAGGCCATCCTGGACAGCAGTCCTCCTATTTGTGCTTCCCTGTGTAGCTGGGATCACAGACCCATGCCACCATATCGAGCCATTGGTTGAGAGGGGGTCTTACAAATTTTTTGCCCAGGCCAGCCTTGAACTGGGATCCTCCCAATCTCCACCTTCTAAACAGCTAAGATTATAGGCTTGAACCACCTTACCTGGCCCAGATGAACTTTTTACTTGAGAAAACTTTCTTCTGTCTCAAGGTCTCTGTCCCTTTGAAGGATCTATTCAATTATATACGAACTCTAAAAAAATCAGTAGATTTAGTAAAATCCCAGCAGTGACTTTAAAAGAGTAACTCTGTAGTTTAGACATTAAGAGTTTTTAGTTTATAACATACGTTTTGTTTTTCTGACTTCTTATTTACCCATATGAATATTTATTAAGTTATGTTCACAATATTTCATGATAGAATAAGCCATATGTGAAGTATGATTTTATTTTTCTTTCCTTGAGGTCTCACTGCACATAAGTGATAGTAGTATGAAATGCTTATTTCATTTTAAAAGACATTTTTTTTACTGGTGGAGTGGCTCAAGTAGTAAGAGCACCTGCCTAGCAAGCATGAGGCCCTGAGTTCAAACTCCAGTGCCACCAAAAAAATAAATAAGAATCATCCTTTTGCCGTGTGCCTGTGGCTCACACCTGTAATCCTAGCTACTCAGGAGGCAGAGATTAGGAGGATCAAGTTTTGAAGCCAGACCAGGCAAATAGTTCACAAGACCGTATCTCAAAAATATCCATCACAAAAAATGGCTGGTGGAGTGGCTCAAGGTGAAGGCCCTGTGTTCAGGCCCCAGTACTGCAAAAAAAAAAAAAAAAAAAAAAAAAAATTATTGTTTTTCCCTTTGGAAATACTGAGGTTTGGATTGGACTCAGGGCTTTGAGCTTGGTAGGCAGGAGCTCTACCACTGGAGTCATGTCCCCAAGTCCCCCAAAGCATTTTTTTATATTTAAATTTTAAGCAATTTTTAATAATAATTTGGCAACTATTGAATGCATGAAGAACATTTTAATTACTCAGAATCCCAATAAAGAGAATCCCAATTAATATTTTGGATACAGATTTCACTGGTATACAACTTTTGGTATACATCATAGTGTTTTTTTCTACAAACACTTATATATCTATTTCCACACAGAGAAAAATGCTTTGAAGCATAATTTTACAGCTTTTTTTTGTAAGAGCTGAATTTCATTCATTTTGTATTATGTCATTAGCACACACAAAGATTTACTCCACGAGTAAAAATGTCTTAAATTGTACAATCTCTACTGAGAACAAACTGCTTTACTAGACAGATGGCCCATTTTGAAGGGTTCTTGGAAGCACCAGCTGTTGTCTGGATTTTTTAATATAAAATTTATTTTGCTACTGGGAGAAGTTAAAGAGCTTTGTTTTCCACTGCAAATTGTGTTTGTGCTGGATCCCTGAGGAGGATGGCCAGTAAGCACTGTTGATAATCCAATATGATTAAAGCTGTTATGCTGTGTTGTTAATGGTCATGCCACAGGCTAGAAGAAAGCTGTCCTGGAGAACAGCTGCCACTAGCTTGGTTGTTCAAAACAGTGATTTTCTACCACGCATTAAGAACAGGCAGGGAACTCCCACTCCCACTGTCTTGGATCCTCATCCTGTTCTCTTAATCATATAATCTTTGATTCAAAGGCTCCTTTCTCTTCCCATACACCCAAAATAAACACACCTAGGCTATGTCTTTAGTCTCTTGTGTTCTTTCTCTACTCTTTGCCCTTCTTGATCTAATCTAGTTCCAGTTTTATTTATGTCAATAGATTTGATATTTTATATTGTCATATGTTAAAAATGCTGGGAATGAATTTAAAAAAATGCTGGTCTAGCTTTGACATGCTGCCCCAGTCTCTCTCTGCATCAGACCTTCACTCTTCACCAACCAGCAATATACACTTGGAGTCACCACTGTATAACTTTCTTCAAGCTAAATATGTCTCCCCAAAACCCCCCAAAAAACAAACACCTAAACAGCTCTTCGAGTTTCATCATTGTCACCACACCTCTCCCATCACCAGAATCATATATATGGTGATTTTATATGTATACACTTTTTTTTTGTGGTACTGGGGCTTGAACTCAGGGCCTTCACCTTGAGCCACTCCACCAGCCTTATTTTTGTGAAGGGTTTTTCGAGATAGGGTCTCGTGAACTATTAGCCCGGGCTGGCTTCCAACCTCAATCCTCCTGATTTCTGCCTCCTGAGTAGCTAGGATTACATTCATGAGCCACCAGCTCCTGGCACTAGAATCATATTGAGGTTTGCAGCTGCTATTCCTCTAAGGCCCATCTGAATGTCCACACTCTTCAGTTTGATCTACAACTAAGTCCTCCTTTCCATTTCTTAATAGTCTCTGTCTAACAGACCTTATTTGGTTTTTGTTTGTTTGGTTTTGTTTTTTTGGCGTTACTGGGGCTTGAACTCAGAGCCTACACCTGAGCCACTCCACCAGCCCTTTTTTGTGATGAGTTTTTTCAAGATTGGGTCTCAGGAACTATTTGCCTGGAGCTGGTTTCGAACCACAATCCTCCTGATCTCTGCCTCCTGAGTAGCTAGGATTACAGGTGATGAGCCGCCAGCGCCCATCACCAGACCTGCGTGATATTTACTGAGCATAAATGCTAGCCCAGGTACTGTCTATGATCTCATTTAATCCTCACAACCTTGAAGTTAGTTTGACAGGTGAGGAAGCCGAGACCCAAAAAGGTAAAATAACTTGCCCTACTTGGACAGTAAGTGGCAGATCTGGGATGCCAACTCTGGTCTGTATATAATCAAAGTCCTCCTACTGTCTTCTTTTCATTCATTCTTTGCTGCCAGATTAAATTCTCTAAAATCACAGCTGTGATCAGCCAGGGGCTGGTGGCTCACGCCTGTAATCCTAACTACTTGGGAAACTGAGATGGGGAGGATTTTGGCTTAAGGCTAGCCCAGAAAAACAGTTCAAAAGGCCCCATCTCCAAAATAACCAAAGCAAGATGAAGTGGAGGTGTGGCTCAAGTGGTAGAATACCTGCTTTGCAAGCACAAAGTCCTGAGTTCAAACCCAGTCACATATATATATATATATATATATATATATATAGAGAGAGAGAGAGAGAGAGAGAGAGAGAGAGAGCTGTGATGATTAATTATATGTGCATGATCAAAAGCTTCCATAAATCCCACTTAGCTACTACTTTAACCTGGCATACAAATCTCCCCTGGGCTCTGGCCACAACTTCTCTCTTCAGCCTAACTTGAAACTTTATCTCTTATTTCTCCACTATAATGGCCAATGCTCCAATCAAACCAGACCATTCGTTCCTCCCCATATAGTCCTTCCTTCTTCCCTCCTCTAACTGTAAACTATGCTGACCATCTGGATGCTTTCATCAAATCCTACCCTTTCTTTATGACCTAGCTCAAAGTTCTTTCCTTTCAGAGAAGCTTTTTTGATTCCTCAGCCAATAATATATTTCTATTTTTGTAAATTCATATAACTTATCTTTTGGAATATGTATTCCAAAGCAAATATTCCCTGAAGCATTTCCAGCATCATTAGAAAAAAGATTACCTGGCATGTTTCAGCACTCAGGAGATCATAAATTCCAGGTCAGCCTGGGCTATATGGTGAGTTTAAGACCAGCTTGGACTACATTGCAAGACTTTGTCTCAAAACAAAACAAACAAAAGGCAAAGATGAAAGATATAAGTAACAATTTCAGGCCGTGTATATGAAAATGTCAAATGAATGAATGGTATCATCAGTATTCCTCAACCTCAAGGCTGTGGACCCCTAAGCCAGGTATATATCACAGACAGCTCAAGACTATTTAACTTTGTGTTTTTATTTCATGGCAATTATGCAAAATATTGGGAAGATATAAAGTCAAAAAAAAGCTTCTTTGGCTGGGTGCTGGTAGTTCACACCTGTAATCCTAACTACTCAGGAGGCAGAGTTCAGGAAGATCAGGGTTCAAAGCCAGCCCCAGGCAAAAAGTTCATGAGACACTATATGGAAAAAACCCATCATAAAGAAAGGGTCAGTGGAGTGGCTCAAGTGGTAGGAGTGCTGGTCTAGCAAGCATGAGGCCCTGAGTTCAAACCCCAGTGCTACCAAAAAATAAATAAATAAACATAAAGCTTCTTTGTGGTAATAAACTATTTTTTACATTGACCTTTATTTTTCAGAGTTTTTGAATTCATAGCAAAATTGAGCTTCCAGTTTGCTTTTCAG